AGTATTTAGAAAAAAATTGATACTATATGTGTAGGAAAGGAATCCATATATGAAGCATTTTTTTCATTCTAAATTATCTGATAACAAACTATCTATAATTCAAGAGTCTAATTATAACCTCAAATTCTTGAATTTGAAAAATTTGAAAATATAAGATACATCAAAAATTTACAGTCACACTCAAATGTGCAGAGACATAATTTTGTTTCTTTTCCCCAGCTGAATTTGTTATGCTCATCAGCCCTGCTTCCCCTGACTGCAGAAAAATCTAACCTTGATAATGAAGGATAACTAGTTAATGCCTGTTTAAAATTTAGTGCACTGTGTAAATATTGGGTTGTACTGATGTTTCTTCTTCCCCCTTCTTTCCTTTTTCCTGGGCAGATCATTGGCTGGAGGGCTTATGCATTATCCCGCACTAGGGGAGACTTGGGGATAAAGTGTTGGGTTCTGTGGCTGCTGTCCATGTTACTTGCTATGGGCTCATGCTTTGAGGTCTGGTCATTTGCATTCTCTCAGACCTTCAGATCCAGCTACCATCCTCGGTCCATCCATATCCTGCATCCTGCTCTCATAGGCTAGGGGACCCTCAGCAGTCTACCTCCCACTATACTAGAGTGACTAGGTTATTGTGAAGAACCCTCAGACATTTCTGTGTCATTGTTTCCCCCAGACATTGATAGTTTGTCTCACTTCTGGAGAGTTTTTGCTCTGGGACCCTGCTGAACTTGAGACATCTCTAAAAAACTATAGCTGTCACTGTTTGGGGAATGAGTGGAGAAATAACTATATTTTCCAAAATCTGTCTTGTGATCAATATGAACATCCCCCCAAACCTCAGCAGGTTTCAGGTTTGCAGAGAATCAAAGAACAGGGCCTATACTACTGTCTAATTATACTCTTGTCTCCACCAACTTTCTCCAAACGTCCCCCACCCAGGCTAGAAACAGCTTTTGTTGTCCTTAGTGTGACAGAAAATGACAATTTTGCAGTAGACAGTATTCTCTAGTATTCGCTATACTACTTGGCTTCTAAAAAAAGAAAAAAAAAAAAAAGGCAAAAAGAAAACTACCCCAAATCTTTTAAACACCAATTTTTGCTATTTAAAAGAGTTTTTGTCTTTATCTCTTTTTTCAAGTATTTCCCTGTGACTCTTATTTTCCTAAGTCACAAGCAAGTAGAGCATTAAAAATATTTTTACAAATTGAGGAAGGTGGCCAGCATTTTTAAAAACGTCATTGTATATTTAAAATTATAAAAATGATTAAGAACTTACGTCCTCACAAAAGCTGCACAGGGATGTTTGCAGCAGCTTTATTCATGGTTGCCAAAACTTGGAAGCGACCATGCTGTCCTTTAGTAGGTGAATGGATGAATAAACTACGGTATATCCAGATGGAATATATTAAGCATTAAAGAGAAATGAGCCATGAAGCCATGAAGCCATGAAAAGGCATGGGAAAACTTTAAATCCATATTACTAAGTGAAATAGGCCAATCTGGAAAGGCTACATACTATATGATTCCAACAGAATGACATTCTGGAAAGGGAAAAACTATGGAGACAGGAAAAAGATTAATGGTTGCCAGGGCTTACACTTGAGGGGCACGGGGGAGGGATGAATTGGCAGAGCTCAGAGGAATTTTTTTTAGTGCAGTGGAACTATTCTGTATGATATCATAATGGTAGATACATGGCATTATACATTTGTCCAAACCCAAAAAATGCACAACACCAAGGGTGAACTGTAATGTACACTATGGACTTCGGGTGATTATAATGTGTCAGTGTACATTCACCAATTGAAAATGGTGAACCATTCTGGTGAATGATCTTGATTATTAAAGAAACTATGCATGTGTGAGGACAGGGAGTGTATGGGAAATATCTGTACCCTCCTCTCAGTTTTTCTGTGAACCTAAATCTCTCTAACAAATTTTATTTATTAAAAATAAGTAAAAATAACAAATTTTTAATTTAGTTTTTACTAAACTATGGCAACAATTTAGAAAACAGAAAAGGATCTTTTTTAATGTAACTGAATCAAGTTGAAAATATTTGAATATTGCAACAGATCAACAAGGAAGATTTTATATAAGTTATCAAAGGAAGAATTTTAAAAATTTTTCTGGACTAAAATTCGTTAGTGTTTTAAGTTTCCGAGTATTCCCCAAGCTTTATGAGCCATCCTTAAATAGAATCAAAGATAAAACTCCCATAGTTGTTCTCAGAGATAAATCTAGACTTGATCTAAATACTTGACAAAAGAAGAAAATTAGAGCTCAAATTCATTTACTATTTAAAATAGGAGCACATGTATTTCAGGGAAAATGGAGCACAAGTGTGGTTCAATCAAAGAGAATCTATTAATTTATGATCTGTTAATATAATTCAACTCACCAGGACTTTAAACAAAATACCCTGTATTCTCATTTGGATTTCTGAAAAAAACCATGGATAAAACAGCATTCAATTCTCAGTTCAAGTAAACAAATAAGTAAGTAAATAAATTATGTATGTGTTAAATAGCAGTAGAAGGTTATCTCTTTAATGTGATGTGGAGTCAGAATCAGTATTACATACTCAGGAAATATATAAAAATACAATTTTTTTGCAAAGTTTTGTACTGTGATTATTTAATATCGTTTAAAAAGTTTTGTACAGGGACACCTGGATGGCACAGTCTGTTGAGTGTCTGACTCTTGGTTTTGGCTCAGGTTGTGAACTCAGGGCCCTGACCTCAGGGTGGTGGATGGGGCCCTGCATAGGACATTGCCCTGAGCAAAGAGTCTGGTTAAATTTCTCTCTCCTTCTTCCTCTGTTCCTCCCTGCCTTGCTCTTTCTCTCTCTCTCGCTCGCTCATTCTTGCTCTCTCTAAAATAAATGAATCTTTAAAAAGTTTTGGACAGATTTTAGAAAATTTTTACAAAGACAATGGAGCAAGGAAAAATATATAAACGTTGACTTGGAAGAGGGTAAAGTGTTTTAAATATGGCTTATGACTATCCCCTTTAAAAGTTCAATAATATTAACTAAAACATACATTATTTAATATAAAATTATCTGGATAGAGAAAACAAGGGGATATTTATGTAATTTATATGACAGAATGTTTAATTAATGAAACAATTCATAAATAATGTAATTTTTTGAGATGTATTTGACATATATTTATTTCAGGTATACAGCATAGTGACTCAATATGTGTATATATTGTGAAATGATCACCACAATAAGTCTTGTTAAAGTCCATCATCACACATAATTACAAATTTATTTTTTGTTTGATGAGAACTTTTAAAAAGCTACTCTCTTAGCAACCCTCAAACATATGATACAATATTATTAACTATAGTACACCATGCTGTGCACTACATTTATTTCATAACTGGAAGTTTGTTCCTTTTGAGTTCCTCTTTACCCCTTTCCTCCAACCCCACCCCCTGTCTCTGGGAACCACCAATCTCTTCTCTCTACGAGTTCTTTTTTTTTTCTAATTTTTTTTAGGATTCCATACAATAGCAAATTTTAAAAGCATGAAATTCAAAGGAATTAATTTAATGATGAGTGTATCAACTAGGGTAAAAAATGATAACCTAATGATTGGTCTCACCAAAAGCATTTGAAAATAGACAAAGACACTATGTTCTTATATAGGAAGATGAAATACTTCAGAAATATCCATTTTTCTCCAAGTAAATGTGTCAGTGGAAATAACAAATTCTTAATCAAAATTCCAACGGACTATCTGAGGTAAAACAATTCTGAAATTCAACTTTAGGATAAAATAGACAAAATACCAAATAATTCTCCTAACAGAATAAAGCAATGACAAGTGAAAGTAGACAGCAGGATTAATAACCCTTATCACACATTACAATTTTTCTATAATAGTGTGGAACTTTTGAGGAAAAAATAAACATCTAGAACTAGCCCTGGATATATGAGTAGCTATTCATATAAAACAAAGGCATTCTAGTTGGGAGAACACATCTTCCTGAGACACACTCAAGCATCAGTATGGTTTAAATTCTTGCTAAAGGTAACATTTCAAAACAATGAAGAAAACCTGGCTTACACATTGAATCCTGTTGTGATAAACATGATTATAGAAACTATCCTGTTTCTCTTGTATAATGTAAGAATATTCACAACCAATCAAGTTTTTTCTTTAAATAGTATTAATATTACAAAAACAATTTGTAGTATTTTACTGGAAAGAATGGTAGTAAAACAAAACAAAACAAACAAACAAACAAACAAAAAACCCAAAATGAGTATCTCATGTTCTTCCCAAAGCAAGCACGATTAGCAGTTCAGTGCATTTCCTCCAAGTCTATATTGTATAAATAATTTTTTTGTTGTTGACATCATAACTTGATTTCTCAATCAACATTATGTTCATTTGCTGTTTTATCACATATATAAGCACCATTATTGACAACTAAGTAAGTTTCCATACTATTAATTCTTGATTATTTCCTTTAAAGAAATTGTATGGAACGTTTGGATTATTCCCTATCTTCCATCTTTACAGAAAATAATTTGGAAATAATCATGTACATAGGATTATTTGGTATAACACAGACTTTTAAACTAGGTCTCTCTGTAGGTGAACAGAGGTATGTTATGTTTGTCCCTTGGCTTTCATTTGGCTATACTCTCTCAGTTTGTTTGCACAAGAGATAAATATAAAGTTGTTGATTTTTTTAATTTCTCCCTCCTATAAATTATTGTTTTATTTAGTATTAAAAAGGTTCAGAAAGGAAGTGAAATAGTTTTGTAAAATAAGCCCTTAAAAAGCAAGCAATTATAGTTATTTTTATGTGGGCTAATCAGTATCCTTTTAAATGTGCAATCAAGTGGTATCTATAATTATTTGAGCCACTTGGCTCACACATACAATTGAAACTACTAAAATTCACTCGCTTACTTTTCTTTCCTACTCCTTCAGGGCTTATAACTAAGAGCTGATTTTTTTCCCCCCCTCTTCATAAAGCTTAGTTTTGGAGGAATTCCAGTACCAGGCAAACCTGGGACCTTTTTAAAGAAAAACTTCCATGGATGTATTGAAAACCTTTACTACAATGGAATAAATATAATTGACCTGGCTAAAAGACGAAAGCATCAGATCTACACTGTGGTAAGTCAACACCTTTCTCAGCGTGGTGGTTTCTAATACATTGGAGTAAGTCTTTTTCCCATCCCATTTCCTGAACTTCTTTATAATGTGTTTATATTATATTCTTTGAGGTCCTATCAGTCTCCCAGGTGAAAGTGGAGAGCAAGAGAAAAGGCAGGAACTGAGCCGGTGTGAACTGCGTTATCAGGAGGAACAATACATTAGAGGCACCTAGAGAATTCCATTTTCCTGGCTATCAGTTGTGTGCCAGCTGTGGGGAGTGTTGCAGCGTACCTTGTATTAGTCTCAGTCCTTTATTATCTCTGGGAAATGCAACAGTAGAGCCACAGATTCTATAGCTTGTGAATTGCATATTTACCTCCTTATTATTTATATTAAAATATGGAATTTTGAACAAGAGGAGTTAAACTTTCTGTGTTTTTGAGATTTACTTTGTAGCATTTATCATGCTGGCAAGTTACATCCTTTTCTAATTCATTAACATTTATCTTCCCCAATAGACTGAGAGCCAGAGATGGCTTTTTTTTCTTTTTCACCACTGCATACCCAATACCTAGCAGAGTGCCTTGTACATAGTAGGTACTCAATAATGGTGTTGATATTTCCAGTTATAATTGTGGACTTGTTCATTTCTCCTTCCAGTTCTATCTGTTTCACTTCATATATTTCATGTCTCTATGTTTTAGTATATACACAGGATTTCTGTCTTCCTTTTGCCATTTTTCAAGGTGTGTGCTGGTGACAAGTTCTTAGCTGTCCTTCAATCTATAATGTCTTGGTAGCTATTCCATTCTTGAAGGCTATGTTCCCCGTATAGAAGACTCTGGTTTGATTGTTGTTTTCTTTCAGTTCTTGAAAAATATTAGGCCACTTTCTTCTGGCTTCAATTTTTTGGGGGACAAATAAACTATTACTAAAATATTTTGCCCCATAGATAAGCTGTTATTTCTCTCTCAGTGCTTTCAAGATCTTTCCTTTGTCTTTTGTTTTCAGAAGTTTGACCATTATGTACTAAATGATATCTTTATGTTTATCCTGTTTGGATTTCATTCAGTTTCTTGAATGTGTGGGCTGTTGTCTTTCTCCAAACTGTGCCATTTATTTGAGTAATTTTTAGTTCTCTCTTTCTCTTCTCTTTTCTGAATTCCACAATGATGAATGCTACATCTTTCATCATAATCCCACAAGTCCCTGACCCTTTGTTCATGTTTTCTTCTTGGTTTCTTTTGTCTTTTGTTCAAATTGAGTAATTTCTATTGTAAGATCCTCAAGTTCACTCATTCTTTCCTTACTCTCTTCATTTGGTTATTGTGCATATCTGTTAATTATTTTTATTATTTTATTGTATTTTTCAGTTCCAAAACTTTCATCTCGTTCTTCTTTACCTTTTTTGTTTTCTTGCTAAGACTTTTTATTTTTTTGCTGGATCTTTCTATGTTCTTATTTGTCTCACATGTGTGGTTGTTCCTTGAAGGATTTTTATTATAATTGCTGCTTAAAACTATTTGTCACATAATTCTAACATTATTTTTGTCATCTCAGTGTTGGCATCTATTGATTACCTTTTTAAATTCAATTTGAGGTCTTTCTGTTTCTTGCTATATAACAAGAAGATTTTTATTTTAACTTGAACACTTTGGGGATTATGCTATGATCAATCATAATAGCTATTCTCTATTAGCTGCCTTTCTCTGACACTATTCCAATAGCGGAGAGGGGATTTTACCTTATTTCTCCTAGGTGGGTGGGGATAGTATCCAAGTGTTCCACTCAGACTCCATTGACACCTAAGGGTATGGTGGAGAAGAATGAGAGCTCCGGCTCCCCATCAGCTCTTCAGTGATACCTCCAACTGGCTGGGATGTGTATGAGAACCTCATCACTGTTCTCCATGTGACCTCCATTGCCATTGCAGTGTGTATGTGTGTGGGGATTTCTTTGTTATCACTAGACTGTGATGAAAGTCATGAGTTGGCACTAAAACATCTCCAACACCATCCCTGCAGGAAGTGAGTGGGGTTGCTCACAACTGCTGAGTGGGGGTATACAGTCCAAGCTGTACCAAACATGTGGTTTCAACTGATACTATAGGGAGAAGCTTGCTACACTCTGACAAAGCTTAAAGTTCCTGCTCCCTACTCAGTCTTTTCTGACCCAGTCTTGGTCAGGGGTTTCAAAACATTGCTATAGCATAGATGAATGGAAATAGGGTCAGAGTTCTTTGTATGGTGTTTGGCTGGCAGAGAACAGTTATTGTCTAAAGATACTCTGTCTTACTAAGCTATCCTTCTCCTGGGCCTTTGATCATAGAGAGCAGGCTTCTATTTGGGATTTACTTTTTATCTGCTCCATTTGGTCTCTTCAGGTTGCTGACTTCTCAGCAACAACTCTAAGATGTATGAGACAAAAAGAAAATCTGGGGAATTCTTTACTGTTGTTCATTGGTTCTCAAGATCCTTAAGCATACTTTCTTTTCTCCACCATTCAATCTTCTCAGGTTTATTTTATACATAATGTCTAGCAGTTTTTAGTTGTACTTAGTGGGGGTAATAGAGAAAATTACACTACTCCATCTTCCCAGAAGTGAAACTCCTTTTAACTGACACTCTTCCAAAAGCCATGACAAAAGTTGGCCACCACATCATTTGACAGGCAAAATCTGATTCTCTTTGTAATCTGGCCAGCAGACTGTAGAAAACCTATGGGACTTAAATGACCTTGATGTTTATTTTCCCCCTTGATAAGCAGACCTTATAATGAATACTTTATTGCATTTGGGCATTTGAATTTTATATAGGTAAAGCAGTTTTTAAAGTGGCCATTGGATTCCAGGGTGTGAGATAGACTTGCTTGAGGGGAATCATATGTGCGGTTAAAGGTTGCAATTATTTTAAAAGGTTAGCACCAAATTTCTGACTCCTGTAGTTCTGAAGAGTAATGATGATGCTAAGAGACGGTTAATTCTCTGACTCTGGTTCTAGGAGATCCAGTGATATTACTTACCCATCCCTGGCTCATGCTCAGGGGTCTTGACAATTATCTTATCCATGTGTACTTAGGTTGTCCATCTCCCAGTTGACCTAATCACTAGATTGCTGGTGATATTTTTCTTCAGTCTCATTCAGGAGACTTGAGCCATGTAAAATACACTCATGCCCATCCCATCCCAAATATTACTAACAAATATTTCATAATATACCAGTGTCATTGAGTTCAGTCTGCCTGTTGGCAATAAGATCCCACACTACTGGGAGTTTAGTTTAGAGTAATGACATGAATGTCAACACATATGAAAGTCAGGACACCATTTGCCATTGTGCAAGGTGTTGGCAGAGTGTGTTGAAACACAAGGAGCTCATGATATTGTTTACTTCCACTGTTTATAAACAGGTTCAATAGTATGCTAGCCTGAGCCTTCCATGTAAATAACTAAAATCCTCAGGGCTATATCCAAAAAGGAAATATCCATACATATTATGTGTTATAAATATCTTTAATGATGGCATATATTTAAAAATGTGCTGGTTACACAGAACAACAAAAAAAAGAGAACATGGAGAAAAAATGAACTTCTGAATATTGGAAGCTTTTCATCATCTCTTTTTTCTGAGAGAATGATTAACCAAAACTTTAATAAGTGTTTTGTTGATTTTATACTACTCTAGCACTTACCAAGTTGCCTGAAACATTGTGAGCATACTTCATTCCTTGGAGTTTAATTGGTGGTAATAATATGAAGCACAAAGATCCATTTAGCACTAATGTACTTGGGGAAAAAATAATCCCAAGAAAACTGTTTTACTTTGCAGGTAGACAACCTTTAGTTTTAACCTTCAAAACTTAAAGGAAAAAAAAAAAAGAAATGTATTTTTATTCCAAATTGCTTCCATCACCTTGCTTAAGTGAGAATTGATATCACTACACACACACACACACACACACGCACGCACACACACCTTTATACACCTAGTCTTTTTCCTTTAGGAATTCTGTGAGGGAAGGGAGAGTTTTCACTGTTAATTACAAGTAAAAACTGTTTTATTCTCCTACTCAGGCTTAAAGTGTTCCCCCAAAGACATAATATCAGCTACAAAATCAGCTTTGCTCCAAGTAACTAAGTCACTGATGTGCTAAGTAAGGGTTTTTGAAAGGGATGGTGTTTTTGTCCTTTGCCAGTGTTCACAGACTCTCATAGTTATTGAGTCTTGGAAAGTTCAGAGTTGAGCAGGAAGAGTTGAGGAATCAACAAATCAGGTAGCAAGGGTATGATGACACCCATAAATTACAAAATGTGATTCAAGGCTCAAGGAAGCACCCACGTTGGCCTCATCCAGTGGGACCTGCCCACTCCCTGGAGATTGAACAGCTGTTCCATGGGGATAATTCAATTTAGTCTTTATGGCTCGATTTGACTACAAGACGATCCTCCACATCCTGAAATGCAGTAAAACTAACAGCTTAAAGTAGACATAAAAAATACCTCTCTATTCTTCCTCAAATCTTTCATCCTATGCTAATACAGCACCATATAATAAACAATCAGAAAGTAAATGGCCCATTGAAGTGTGTGTACAGTACCTGTAATGTGGATTATTATATACATAATATAAGAAATATATTGCCCTGCTAGTTTCCTGAAAATGATTAATTTCATACCTTCCACTTCACAAGAAATGCTGCTTTCTTTCAGCTCTGCTTTCTGAGGGTTGCATCCCCTCATCCAGAGGCAAGGAGAATAAGGTGATTGGTTGTTAGCTGAGGTCTAACTTACTTCACTGTAGGTCTTAAAATGATTTTTTTTTCATTTAAAGGAAGAGCATAGTAGAAATGGTCTTGTTCCTTTACATTTTCTCCAACAGAAGAGGGGGAAAAAGTGGCTAATAGCAGGACTATGGATATAGATTTGGCTTTTGAGCTAATTGACTATATCAATTCACTTTTGTGCCTTTTTCTCCAAATAATTGAAATTAAGGAATTGAATGGGTGGTAGCCAAAATACT